CTCTATTTAGGGTCACCCTTTGGTCAAACCGAGAAGAGAAGACCACGACCAATCAGTCCATGCCGTAAATGACTATGAACTTCTTAAAAATGGTAATCACATACCTGAGTAACCGCTCACTTGCAACATATACCTGTGACCACTGTGAAGGACATCAAAATTGTCATAAAAAGCGTAATATTTGGTGTTATTGGCAAGTACTATGTTGATTAATAAGCTTTTGTGACGTTTAAAAGTTAGACCATATATCAATTTGTTGCCATGCCAAAAACTAGATGTTTTCGACGTTCTTGATCCAAACCCTGCCTCGTAACTGGCCCAGTTTTCTTGTTCAAAAGTTACACCATCGTTGGATCTTCTCATGATAACTTCCCATCCTCCACCATCATTTTCCATGTCACAATAAACTGATGATCCAGATATGGCGTACAGACCACTCTCAGATACGCCATATTTGAACAGGTCTTTGCAGTGATAGATGATCTTTGCATCTAGCGAAAAAAAAAAACGATTATTTATTAGATACAAAAGATCATTTATCCATAGAACTGATGCAATGGACTTTTCTGCACCTGGCCTTAAACGAAGTAAAGCGGGCCTGGAAACGAGGTTGTACGTATACAATTACTTACCCTCCCATCCCACGGTATGTATTTTTCTTGTATTCAATGACTTACCCCTCCCCTAGTTATTCAATCCTATAGTATTCAATTGTCGCGTATTATAAATAATGTATAATCAGTGCTTTGTGTTACCATGTTCACAGAGAGATGGCCGTAGCTTGGTAGATTCCTCCATGACCCATCCAGTCTTAGTTTGAGATACACAATGTCCTTGGATTGGCGCTCGTTCGCTCCCTTTCCAGTTTGTATAACTGAGTTCTTTAAAACCCGACCAGACAAATTTATTGTCGTCACTGTCGATCTGGAGACCTGATAGTACATAACATCATTAACGTATACCTTGAGTCAGGAGGAGACGGTCAAGCTAGAAACACGATGGATTCGGCTTTATCGTCGATCACAGACATACCAAGCAGTGCGAGCGGGAGGTCGAGGAGCAAGGGGCGCCGAAACGAAAACGATTATAGTGCCGGTCAAGCTAAAAACACGATGGATTCGGCTTTATCATCGACTTACCTGTACGAGCGTTGTCTTTGATATGTTTTGTAATAAATTCATCTGTTTTCCTGTCTATGATTCTCGTCATTCGTAGATTATTAGTTTGACATAACTTTTCGTTTGTGGAGCAATCTTGCATTCTATTTGTAAAGTCCCCATAACACACATTGTTATGGCATGTTTTACCTTTAAAAGAAAACATACAAAAATACTCAAAATAACAAAAGATGTAGTTGAATTCTGTCGAAGCCATGTTTTACCTCGTTTGCATACAACCTTGGCCCTTTTCTTAGAGCAAGGATATTGATCCCATACATAATCGTTTGCCTTTCTTATCAATGCAAAGCATCCTGTACTGGTGTTAAGACTTTGGATTGTGGCCTGATTATAAGCCAAGGCACTGCCATCCCTCCAAGAAAACACCTTATTTTTAGAGTCAAATTTAAGTCCTAAAAACAATAAACATTATTTACAAGTATGATTGATCGATCGTTTAGTGCTCTCATGCAATTGATTTCACTTATCCCTCATTTAGTTTTGCAGTCGTTTCGATCACATTAGCCATGTGTCGAAAGTGTAAGACAAATTCAATCAAAAAGTCTTTTGAAGAAACTGACAACACGAGTTAAACCCTCGTCAATGACYTACCAAGACAAACAGCTTCAGGAACTACAGACTGTTCTTCCATGATTGTCTTGATGAAGGACATTTCATCTGCGCTGGTTATACTTAACAAGCGTCCACCAAATGGGCTGCATCGTCCGTGAGCATAGCGAATCTCAGGGTTGTCACGAATATAATAACACGCCCAGTCATTGCATTTAATAGCTAAACACACACAAAAACAAACTTTATCACCTGATTGATTGAAAAACAAAACGAAGAACAAGAGGAAAGAGAAGATGGCGAAGAAGACGATGCATTACGATGACAAGAGAATGTAATCCAATGGACCGTCATATCATTATCTAACTTACCATTAGCTGGCCTCATCATTATTTTCACTGCTTTCAGAGGTTTGCCTTGATTCCATGTTTTCCATGTCATGGAGTCATAGCGGCCATTTAGATTTGCAGTGTGACATGTAGCAAGGCTGTCATTATTCCACCAGCCATTGGAACTTCTTTTGCTACAAGACGATGCAGTATCTTTATCCCGTGTTGAAAAGGGCGCTGCATTATGAAGGGCCAATGAATTCCCAATGCTGCCGGTGTAATTAGATACCTATAAAACAAGTAAAGTAATAATGAGACGGAGATGGCAATTAATAGGACACATATTTAGGAAAGATAAGAACAGCGACGAGATGATTGCCTTGACATGGGCCCCTGAGGGGAGGAGACGCAAGGGCATGCAGGCCGAAAACAACATGGCGTCGGACAGTTATAAAGGAAAGGGAGCTATTAGGATTTGGAACATGGGAGGAAGCGAGAGCAGTGCCAGCGAACCGGAAGAAGTGGAGAAGATCGATAAAGGGCTTATGCACCACTGGGTGCGAAGCGCGGTAACGGTAAAAACAAGGTGATATTGCAAATTACTATATATTACTATATATGGACTTTTACAAATCAAGTATTCTGATTGTCTATTTAACTATGGTCTATTCATGTTGACATCATGGTCGCAAGAAGGAAAGCGGGAATTAAAAGTCGATTTTTATGTTCAGTGATTGACTAGTTTTTCTACCCATGGTATCGCAGGTCCTATTTCAAATTTCCTGTTAAATGTGTAGTTATAATTACCTTCAGTGAGTAGTCTTGAAAGTTAATTTTGAAATAGCGATAATAAGCATAGCCAACATTCCCGTTGAAGTCTTCAACATCAATYCTCAACTCATCCTTGTAAGTAGTTTCACTATCAAACTCCTTAATGGTCTGCAGTCCTAACCAGTGCTCGCCATCGAGTGAACCAAATCCATGTAAATAKGARTCCCAGTCCCKATTAAAGTTTATTGATCCATCAAATCGTTTTTGTATCACCATCCAACCACCWCCCATTGTTGTTTGATCGCAATAAACCWTTCTCCGTCCAGAATCTCTTGATAWTATGTATTGTCCATTGTCAACAAAGCCGCTATATAAATGACTCAAACAGCTGCCATATTGTCCATATTCTACAAAAAGAGATAATAGAAAAATAAAAATGTATACCCTATCCAACACTTTTTAAAATGTTGACATAAACCATGTAGGTTTCAGTGTAAAATATGTCAATGTTCTTTCATTTAGACTTATAGACTACAAGATTAATATCGACAGCCTGTATTAGTCATGAAAAACATCTAGAAAATACAACGCATATTCAAGACAACAGACGGTCAATTGTATGTTCAAGAAACGAAGGCCAAAAAACCATCCCTATTTGGCGGAACGTCCCCGTATAGTAAATGTAGGCTAATATCCCCCCACCCCACCCCCCACGGGATGCATGCTTTCCGATGTAGCCGAAGCAATATCACACCCTATTGCATCGTCATGGACGAGTCTAGTGAAATCTGCTTACCAGTTGTAAGATAGCCAACAACAGATGAAGTACTCGGTACTGGTACAAATGGTGTGGGATGACATTTGGGTCCGAAGGCATCAAATACCTAGAGAAATTCATTATATCTCATGGAAAATACATCAAGCAATACATAAACCCGCGTAAATCTAAATCACTTCATCATTTTGGAATAAATTGCGGTACAAAACGTTTTCCGCTTTTTGAAAATCAGATTTGACGGTTTTACTGATTCTGGAGTCGTCGGTATTGCTCTCATTTAGTGGTGGTTCATGGTTGCAATGCAAGCCCAATGAACGATTGGAATAAATTAAATTTATCACAGAAAAATCTAAGAAAAGCACAAATACATACCACTACAGGAAATGTATACCGATGATGCTTAAAGTCATAGATGATATAGGACAATGTCACGTTAAGTTCAACAAATTCACAGTCGTTGGCACTGCTGTTGGTGGCGACACAAGCAGACATATGCCCACGCATGCGTACATAAACTTGTCTTTTACATGTTGGACACGGCAACGTTGAATAGCAAATCTTGAAAGCAACTACATAGAAATCCAAGATTTTGCGGTCAGTAAAATACTAACACTCGAAATTTCTTTTTTGATGAAGATATTAATTAAAGAAAATCGTACGCACCGGTCACGAATTGAAGTCTTTTGAGCGGTAATTTGCCCCCTTCATATTTATGATATACWGGACCAACAATACTGAACTTTGGATTATCTGTAAGTGAAGAACATTAACAAAATAGAAAAAACATAAAAAATCCAATTGTGTAGAAAGGTAAATTTAACACCGTAAAAAAGTAGGTGAAACAACTTACTGACCTTTCGGACGTTTATCCTTCGTCGGAGTAAAGGCGAAGGATAAACGTCCGAAACGTCAGTAAGTTGTTTCACCTACTTTTTTACAGTGTTGCATTTATCTTTTTACACAACTTTTTTTTAGAAACACCGACGCAGCTCACACTAGTTTACCGCTAGTAACCACAATGAAAAATCCATGTTTTCAACCCTCTTAAGGAAGGAAGGACCCTATCTTCCCATCATCTTCAATTTATGTGTGCAGAGCATCATGGTAGAGCAGGTTTCGTATGACTGTGCAACACCACCGAATACGGACATGGAACGGCACGGCACGGTCACGGAATTGACCTCGCCTTCTAGGATTCCAAATAAAAAATATAGATTTAACAATACATCACCGCTACGGCACGGTACGGTCACAGCKCGAAAGTACCGTGTTTTTTGCACAGTCATACGAAAAAATCTACTCTAAACTAAACTTGCACTTCTCGTTGGTAAACAAAGAAAACATTGCTTTTATTTATGAATTYATTTTCGTGGTTTAGGCTTCAGTGGGAATAACAAATGTCCTAATTAAAATACAAGCTTGGCAATCTAAACCCCAAAGAAGAAGAAAAACCACACAAGCTCTTTCACAWGAAGCCATGTGAAAGTTAGATTATACCTTTATAGCAGCCGTAGAATTCAGCTCTTAAACCAATGTTTGTTTTCCATGTTTTTGGATGAATTTTGATATAGCGCAATAAAACAGGATGCCTCAGGTAGTTTTTCACAGCAGTGTTTGCGTCTTTATTTCTTTGAAATATCTACAAAACAAACAGAGATCCTATATTCACCACCAGCATGCATAGCGTCCAGACAAATTTCAACATATTTAATGCGGTTTCATACTTATGTACTTTTGATTTCATTGCAAAAAGGGTTAATTGAGGTATTTTCATTGTATTTCTGTAATTTAATATTTCTTACCTTGAGTTGTTCATTTTCAAAGTATTCGATCCATTCAAGACGGTTAATACTCATCGTTAAGTAGAATGACGTCACGTGATATTCTGCGCCTGAATTATCCTTGCCGCCTTGGGTAGCTAATGCAGTTATGTATACTCTGTCTTCGAATACTACCATGAAAAACTGATTTTTATCTTGAACCGACGCCCTCCAAAACGTCGACGCATGCAATCGCCCTCTGTGTGCACCAAATCCGCTCTCGAAAGTCGAGGCATACAACTGAGAGTTTGTAATTTGTCCGTCCTGAAGTCCTAATGGAGCGCCACAATCTGAACATTAATCAATGTTCATTAATTAGTTAATCACCACAGTGGCTTATCCAAGATTTGTCATTAGTGGAAAGACGAAGAGGTCATGTCCTAGCTACAACCTTTTTTAAACGCAAATTAATCATGGAAAAGGTAGAAGACTATTTTTCTTAATTGATTATGTTTGAGTCTAACCAAACACTGCTCGATCAACAGTAATTTCCACTTTTTAAAATGTTTTGCTTTGAAAAAGGGATCACCATAAGGACTGAGCTCCTGTGCTGTTCCCCCCCCTGATACTAATACATGATGATAATAAAAGATAATCTAGTATCCCTTGATATTAGTATAGTTTGACGTTGTTTTTTACCTTTAGGAGGCGGGRATCTCAGATCTAAGTCTCCCAGTGGATGCTCATCCTCTAGAAAGAAGTAAATGCTTGTGATTTGTTTGGTTTCAGTATTTTTATCGCATATGCCTATTATTTCTCAAGCTCATATAGCTTTTATGTAAAGTAGGTTTATTTTGCTGTTTTTTAGTTCATTATTTCAATGTCTCTCATTGACAATCTTACCGTTGCAGCCGTACATCTGAACTTTCAAAGCAATTTTTCCTGTATGGACTTGGGGATATATTCTAACAGATCGTACTTTGATCACTTCCTTGAGCACATGTCGAACCTCTGTCCCATTATTAGCTACAAAATCCTATCCAAACATAGATAGCGGCATCATACTGAGCAACGATAATAAAGAAAGGGTAACATAGCAACAATATCASAGCAACGACATCGTARCAACAATATCATAGCAACAACATCGTAGCAACAATATCATAGCAACAACATCKTAGCAACAATATCATAGCAACATCATAGTAATAATATATCATAGCAACGACATCATAGCAACAATATCATAGCAACAACATCATAGTAATATATCATTGCAATGACATCATAGCAACAATATCATAGCAACAACATCGTAGCAACAACATCATAGCAACAACATCGTAGCAACAATATCATAGCAACAACATCGTAGCAACAATRTCATAGCAACAACATCATAGTAATAATATATCATGGCAACGACATCATAGCAATATATCATAGCAATGACATCATAGCAAGGCAATATCATAGAAACAACATCGTAGCAACAATATCATAGCAACAACATCGTAGCAACAATATCATAGCAACGACATCATAGCAACAATATAATAGCAACAACATCGTAGCAACGACTTAATAATAACACTGAGCATTATTGCTATCTGACTGAATATTAAAAGCACCAATAAGTCACCTTTTCGAGATGATTTTCAAAATAGAGTCTCCATTCCAATCGAAAAGTATACCATAATCGGTAGCTTCTCACCCAGTGATTTTGGCCATCAACTACGCCTCCCTTTGTTGCAATAGCGGTGATATACAAGATTTCTGCCAAATTGATCTGCAGGTATGGTCTTGCATCTGATGAAGATGGACTCCAACATGAATTCCACCAAAACCTAGCATAATGCTCATGATGTAATGGTATCTTGCTTGATGAAGTCAGCATGAGCTTGTTCATTACTAGAGGACGGTTACATCCTAAAAAAACACAACGTTACCCACTGAACTGAACAAACTATCAACAATGCATGCAGCATTCCCAAGTCATCCTTGTAACACGTCTTTAACTGTCATAAAGCTATTACCTGTAAATAAATATTGTTCTCTACAAATGAATTTAACTCTGACCTGCGCAGTAGCCCTTTTTACCATCTTGTTCAAATGTCGGTGAGACTGAGCACCAAAGTCCCGGCTCGGATTCGTCACCAGTGCACGTGGTATAGACTTTGTTTTTAAAGGTGAAAGGGAAAATACAGCACTTGTTGTTGTTTCTTGTCAGCCATGAATGATAACATTTTGCTGAACAACAATAAATAGGAAAACTTTATGGTTTTGAATGGGATTGAATATTATCATTGTAATTATGAATGTTATTGTTGTTGTCGCTGTTGTTGTTGTTGTTGTTGTTGCTGTTGTTGTTGTATATCGAAAGATCATCGTACAATAGATCACCTTTGCCATTTTCTTGCACCTTGAACATTGGATGATTTGGCATTCTCTGAGGTAGAWTGCTCTTCGGATAAGGGTGATTCCAGAACGCTATACTCAATCCTCCGGGACATTTATCAGGGTTTACAAGACAAGAATTATCACCAATGTCACCCGTAAGTCCATATGAATTAGTCCTCATCAGAAATGTATCGCCATATATACCAGCACCATGTCTGTTGAAATGTAACTGAGACTTCTCCTCGATGATCTTGTTGTTGACAATTTGATCAAGGTGCCAGAAATGAGCAGCCTCATTGTTTTCTGTGAATAAATTAACTTAAAATACTTAAAAAATTGACAAACAAACAATCAAAGAAGTAATATATATTCAAAACAACGCAATTATAAGAATCTACCAACTGTAATTACCTAAGCATATATTATTAGTATTAACTAAACCCAATAAGCTGCACACATGGATGCAAAAACAGTAAAGCCACACCCGGCAGCTACACACATGGCAAGTTTACCTTCCAAAGGGATGTCTAAAGTCAAATGTGAAGGACCTTGGCTGAATGAGCGGTATTTTTGTGTTACCCAAGGCTTGCCTGCCCATTGCCTTCCAACGAGGATCCAAGAGCAATTTTCACACGACACCAAAGGGTCCGATGCACCAATGGAATACAATTGCCATCCAGCATTTGCATCGATGTTCCTTGAATTGAGAGATAAAACTATTTACTAGTAAAATACCTTTGAAATCACCAATGAGAGGTGATATAGCGGTCTCTATATTTTATTGAATYACGTGAATGTTATCCGTAAAGAAAGCAAAGGGATATTGTAAACAGACGATACCAACCTGTATCCTGAGCCAGCTACTGCAATAATGATGATCATACGTCTCTTGATATTCTTTAAGTAAGTAGCTAGTTCTTGAGCAGCAGTATCGTTTTTTGCGGTGTYAAAGTGTGAAGAGTCTAGTACGTTCCCAGTAGAAGGATCCAGTACGACTACATTATGACCCAAATGACCTGGACATTGTTCTATGTTRTTCACCTGCGTACAAWAATGTCCGTAAAATCAACACCAATACATGAATCAAAAGAGGCCTGCACCATTTCGTAGTTTGTACATTGGTATACACATGTTCTCGGACGCAATATATCATTTCATTATAGAAATACCTTAATAGAGCATAAAGGCTTTCGTTTTGAAACCCCAGGATCACTCCATCCTTCTGCTACAATATGTAGTCTAACAATTTCTACAAAAATAAAAAAATCGTTTACACAATTAAACATGTGGACTACGAGAGAGAATAATCTGCTTGTCATGGTTCTTGGAGAGGTATTTTTCTTATATATCTGATTTTTGTGTGCAGAAGTTGGATTTTCTTTCCACCTTTATAGACGAATTATTGGAGATTTACCGACATGCTGCGCAGTGACAGCCAACTGGAAACATGGCCAGTGTGTCCATTTAATCGGATGAATACGCAAATATCTTGCTGCAAGAGGCTTTGGGAGATATGTTTGCCAGTCGCTCTGATCGACTTCAATTACCTGAATATAGAATACATCATAAGTTACTTTGCTACATCATTGACGAGGTTTCTAGTCGAAAATAAAGTGTTGATCATTACGCATGCTCAGATCTCTTATCTCTGTTACATCTTCAATATTATCCCACATGGCCCTATTTTGTTATTTGTCATTAATAGCAATGTATTTTCTGGTGAATAAATGTATAAGGAATAGTAATCGTCTACGTGATTATTGATCAATGTATCGCCCGAAAAAAAATGATTATTACTTAATAGACTATTATTATTATTATTTCACTGCGACTATGTATTTTATCTGGTAAGTAGAGGTTGTGACTTACACTCGTATACTCTTCCCACACTTCTCCGTCAGTAGAACTTGACAGATTATAACTTGTTATAAGMCTCCCTCGAGTAGTTGGTGTAGTTATAATGGAACAAACTGTGGAGAAATTAAAGACATGTTATTAGCTTACTCATCGTCTTTTATTCTGGCAACTCAGTCCATATGTTTTGAATAAAAAGAATGCAGTTCTGTAACTAGCAAGAAAATCATTCCATCTTCTACTGAATGCATTCCCAACATTTCACGTCAAACATTTCACTCCCCTCCCCCCACSTCATAAAAAATTCAAGTCAGTTTGCCTCGCAGTATCTCATGGTAAAAAACAGTATAAGTATAGTTTACAACATGAGCGGCCGTGTTATATGATTGTAATTCCCATACAACACGGACGCGAATGTTGTAAACGACTTATAAAACTCCAACACAAATTAACATGAATTACAGTGAGATAAATGACGAAAAATGACAAATAAGGTAACTGCTGAGTTTAGTCCCTATTAAGCAAGCGCAATTTATTGCAACACAGAACATTTTGAATAATTATCCATCCCACATGGAAAGCAAGCCATCTGTTGCATAAGCGAGTTCTGTTATCCGTTTTTGATTGCTTCAAAACCTAGTGAAGGTCTATGATGCGACACTAAAACTGAGACCTTTGCTAGTGTTGGGTTGTCTCAATGGTGACGACCGTGTTGTAAATCTGATACAACACTAGTGGTTGTATCAGATTTACAAGATCAATCACCTGATTAAATGGTCAGCCCTTATTGGAGCAATAGCTTATGCATTATTAATAAGTTTTATAAGTCTATATAAGATGGTATTTGATGAGTATAAMATTAAACTGTGATATGACGTCAGTCTTAAACAAGTGCGATATGATTGRACAAGAGCAAGCTTTACTTCGGCTTTCAAAGGACAGTTTTCAATGCTTTATATATAATACTTGCCATATGTAAGGCTTTGAAAGTACAGTTGTAAAAAAAGTCCAGTTTTATTGTCTGCTGCACACCAAATYGTGCTGTTGTTTTCTGGAGAGACATGCTCACGTTGAAAGTGTTTTGTAGAGATTGAAGAAAAATGGATTTTAGTGTAGTTTAGGTAGGGACAACCTATCAATATGGAAAATGCCACATTAGTACTGTATTGACACATTTCTATTTACTAAGAACAATGTGAATCAATGTTTTGTAACATTCTTAAACTGTCACTAGAACCTTATAAAACGAAACATTGCCGATAATTTAATATTTGTACACAAATAAGTTTATAAATCTGATGAAGCACCTGCCCACGACCTTGACGACTATCAGGCAAAACAATTTATATATATATAAATGAATTTGAATCTACGAAAGTTTCTGAGGCTGCAATTATCAAATTTGTCATCGCCTCTTATCTGATCCATTGATATTCTATTTAATTTGTCTCATTTTTCTTCTGCAACTTTTCTGAAGGACAAACAATTGTGAAATGTTTACAACTGAATTCTTCACAATTTTCAATCGTGTAATAGTTTTTTTTTTGTTTGTTTGTTTGTTTGATTGTTAGTTTGTTGGAAAAGTTCATTCTAAAGTTACCAAAACCGAGATATAATTCGGCTWCTTGTGAAATCAAAATATCCCTAAAATATTCCTATATTCTAAATCTCAAAACAGATGTCATTCCATTCCTGTGCAAACTGACGTAAAACCATGGACGTTACCGAGCAACCGAACAAAAACATGAAGAATTCTTTATGAAATTAACTTCATCAGTTCAGTGTACTATAAATTGACTTATCAACACTAAAATGTCGATAAAAATGCTAGTTTGAAATAAAAACTAATTATAGCCATGTAGAAGTTTACTGAATAAATATTGGTTCACTACGCAACTAATTTGATAATACAATTTAAGATTGGAGTATTTTAACAATGTTAACAATGTAATCTATTCAGATTTTAAAAGCCTGATTAAAATAGTTTAGAAAAAAAGAAAAATAGAAAAAAGGCTGGCGGAGTTTTCATGTTAACATTATTATATGGAAGCAAAATCAACTTAAAGTCATAAAAGCATGTTTGAACTATAATAACAGTAGATRGCCGGCAACATGTTTAAACCAAACCAACACGCACCATACCCCATGAAAAGCCTAGAAAAGATTGCAAACATATTTTGTTCYATGAAAAAGAAAAACGAAAATTACACGAAATTACCCATAATACACCCGATATGTTAGCGGTCAAAATGATTTTGAAAATGACTGTAATTTCAAAGAGAAAAAAAAAATGCCATAGGATGAATAAACTTCAAAGTTTGTTAGACCTCAATTACACAATTACATGACATACAAGTGATGATACAATTTATACTCACTGCGGCTGTTAGTGGGCGCTTTCAACCATTCATCAGAACTACCACAAAACACTGCACACCCATAAGATAAAAGAAGAGCTAAATACACCACCATCGCGCACATGATGGAGGGTTTTAATAACTAAAACCCATTTTATTACTTGTCGATATTAGTGTAGTCAAGCCTTGAGAGCAGCTGAAAAATCATGAGACTTCAAATGACTTGTAAACAACACAAAGGACGTTTTATTTTCGCCCAGTGGTTGACCATCACTAATGAGAAAAAATAGCCTTGTCGTATTGGTTGCCATAAAGACGACCCTTGATGCGACATCCCACACAAACTAATGGCGACACGTGACCTGATGAACGCTTTAAGTCGACAATGTGAGCTTTTAGGCGTAGAAAATATTGAAAATATCACACAACCATTGTATGAGGTCTTGAAAATATAGTATGTCAGCGCTCTGATATGACAGGGACTGTGGAGCAGGGGGACTGTACCCCCCAAAATAAATACAATTCAATAATCATGTTATACTTGCTTTTGGCAGTGTCAAGTAATATTATTAGATCTTCACTGCATAAAAGACACTCAAAATGCTAGAAATCGCAAGAATACCTGGGGCATTTTACTTGATCCAGCCCCCCTCCCCCTCCCCCTGAGGCCCCCCCCCTCCCCCTGTTCCTGTATATCTGATATTAGTCATGCTTCAAACCTTAGCTGAAAGATTGTTAGGTATTGGAGATATGTTTGCAGATCAGCCAATAGAGAACAAAATAGTGCTAGTTAAACAATAGAAAACAATAGAATTAGCATAATTTAACAGTATTTAGTGGTATTTATTTGCACAGTTTTAGTGTTTGTACTCTAGTCTCTCTCAGGTTAATCAAGGTGAAACAAACAAACAGCCTATCAATCAACATTGGAAGACCCGGGGAGGAAGAAAACACTCTCACCATGTTAATAACAAATGTGACACAAAATAAAGGCAACAATTGAAGGTACAAGGTCTCAGTGATGTGTGTGTACCCCCTGTACCCTACAACTTAATCAATCAACCATTATACACTCAAGAACAATAGTAACGGCATCATCCATAATTAAGTGATCTTASTAGGCAAGAAAAGAGTTCAAAGGTTATAAGATGCATGTGTGCTTTTACATGCGCCAATTTATCATCCCATTATCCAAACARAAGACAAAGAATCAACAAACAATTTATACTAACTGTACATCAACTATGGTGCTAGCCACATGACGTGGGACAATCAAGATGCCAAAGTTAATTCAGAAGTGTATCAATGAATGTGATCTTATGCATGCGATTCTATTTGGATCAATGTATGAATTAATGCTCATCGGGAGTGCCGTGTCTCTCCACTCATCATGTACCAGATGTAATTGGTTGGACACAAATATTGTCTACATCTAATTTACTATGATTGCCTTGGTGATATTGGCATGAAACTCCTTTAATATCATTTACATTAGCACAAAARATCATTTTCTGAAAATACAAAGTTTTGGTTTGTAGCTGTTCACTTGAAGACAAAGTCACAGTTCCTTCATCATGATTTCTGAAACATTTTGTCCTTTCACAACGGTATCTTCAATCAAAAGCAGTCAGGTSCTCGATATCTTGCCGCATATATTTACAAATTTCTCTTCAAATGAGCGTCATAAAATAAACCAACTTTTTAACAATAATTTGTTATCAATGATGTCCTTCATCTGGCTTTTCAAAGACTTTTTCTAACACACAAGCAACGACGAACGCACCAAAGCCCCATCCCAAKCCAGGAAACATTCTTCGTATATTTGCATGTTTGTTGATTGAAGGGTGATATCTCCATGCTTCAAAACGTGCCCATGGGTCTCTTCCAGTCGAAACAGTCTTTTTAACGGGATCCATTCCTATTAAATGGTTAAAATAGTGGCTTAATTTCACTCCYTGGTCCACTTTACAACTTTCTTCCCACTTTGTATAGTAAGCCTGGCTACTAAGCTTWTAGCTCGCAAAGTATTGTGGTTTGTTTACAAAGGTAGCCCAACTCTAGCTTGGCAATGTTTGTGTTACCATATCAACAGAATACAAAGCTSTTCTATAGTYCGCGAACCGTGCATTTTATGTCAGTTGGGAAAATCTTGTGTCTTTGCTAACTTGTGGATCTTGTTTACGAATTAATTGAATAGAAAACTATCTTTAARGAAAGACTGTACTGATAAAAATCATGCCAAATCCAAACATTTCTACTCAAGGTAAGTACAAGACATGTTTCCATACCATGCATTGCTTTTAGAATAATATTTTCGTTGTATATGTAGATGAGTTATTAGTTTATCTGATTTGATGAGTATTTGTGTTAATAACGGTCTATTTCCTATTACTGCATTAACATTTAACGTCTTTAAACGAATTAATATAATGTCTGATAAAGCATGCCTTATTGCAGGCCCGCTGTTCAGACGTTCTTATAGGTAAAAAGTTTTGCTTTGACTTCATTTCAGATTGGTATTACCATGCTCCGTCTAAAAATCCTACTACATATGAAATGGAGGAGCCACCTCCACCATCTCAAATACCAGGACTGAGCAATGTCATTGAACAGCCTGATGAAATGGAAGAGAGGAGATTTAGAAGAAAGTGGATCCGAGATACAGATTCAAAGTACATTCAGCTTGCCAAAGGAGGTGGAAGAAAGAATCTTCTTAACTACAAGGATCCTCCAAAGGAAACACATTTGGCTGTTGGTTATCCACGTGTAGATTGGTTTGACCACTACAACCCAGAATATGATCTTCCTGAACCTCAACCTGAACCAATACGTAATTCCAAAAAAATGCAGCTTAGAACTCAACCGTAAGTGTACTTTCACAGACCCTTTACAGCAGACACACACATAGTGCAGCATGCATGCTGTAAAGGACATGTACAATATTCTTTTGATAATTTACCTTTTGCATTTATTATTGTAAAACAGACTTTTGGGGCTTGATCCACCTCCCCAATAAATAGACCACAAGATATCCAAGTTCTAACTTTATCAAATTGATATAATTTAGCCACAGAGTGTTACCTGAATGGTATGTCCATGACTTGCATGAAGAAAAAGAAAGTAGAGATGAAAACTTTGGTACAACAAACAACAARTCAAAGAAAAACGTCATTTCATTTGATAACATGTCAGCCTGGGAAAGGTAAGACATTAATATATGTGGTAGTATCAGTATTACACCAAGTTAACTGAAAATACTTCATGCAGGGAAGCCAAAGATGAAGAAATGGCAAGAAATGAAAATGCTGTGAAATTACCTCAGCTACACCCTAAGAAACAAACCAAGAATAAACATTCTAAAGATCTTCAAGCATTTCCTAAAAGAATGGTTAGACAGTCAAATGAGTAAGAAAATAATAAGAAACATCATAAATGAATGAGATTTTACCTGTTATKAAACCTTACTAGTTAAACTAATGGATTCTAATAATGATTGTTACATTGCCCCAAATATATGAATTAACTAGTATATCTTTTTGCTCTCTATAACAGGCCAAGTGAACCAGTGGATTTCAGGCACTTACTGTCAATGGGATATCAAAAGGATTGGTTTCAAGACCAAAACAGAAAACACACTGAAGAAAGACAGAAAAAACAAGTGAGGCACATTTTGTTATGTATTGTATGAAATGCCTGGTATTAATCCTCTGCCAATTTTATTAATGAGGGCTTTGTTACTTTTTAAGATGGAAAGAATGAAGCAAGTTGAAAAAAGGGAAACACAGATAAGAGATACCATTGAAATGAGGTATAAGTGACGATAATTGCTGTAAATCCCCAGAATTCAATAAAGAATACAGTTTTGTTTCTAGAAAACTATGATTAGATTTAATGCTGACATTTTGTTTGATGAAATTGTTTTTCTTTCACAGAAGACCAAAATATAATGCCACACAGGATGAGGACAGACATATGTTCAAGCTATCCAGGTAAAGTTCAAGTTTCCAGTTTCTTATCTTCCTGCTAGCAGAGGCTTCAAATCAACAGTGAAAAGCTCTTATAACACAGAGAAGGGAGTTCTTTTTCCTTCCTTTTTTATTTTTCTTTCCTTTGTTTTCTTTATTAATGGTTACGCAATAAAACAATCACGATCTGCTTTTGCTGCAACAAATAACATTATTTCAATTGTAATGTTTATAATTTTTATAAATTTCAGATTTCAGAATGTTCAGCCACGAGTGGAAAGCTTTCGTACTTAGATGATAGCATCGTGATTAGATTAAAAATGGTATATTTATATTGCATTGAATTGTAAAAAGTATGAAGTAGTGAAAATATATTATCTCAAATTTTATATTATAATACAATGCGAAATTTCTTGCCAGGTTTTAAAGCTCATGTAAATAGTTTTTTTGACTTTTTTGTTTCTTGATTCAGAATTTGATTTTAAAAATAAAGATAAAAATCTTATAGAGTGAAAAAAATGTAGTTTTGTAATGATTGTGCCCTCCGGTTTAAGTGGCTAACCCTCTTCTCTCGTAGTATGTTTCCCCAACCTTGATAATATCAAAATATTGTTCATATTTGTATACATTCTTTTTCTGATTGTTCATATAATTTTCAATCACACTAAACAATTTGATATGATACAATATACAATCATGCTTTAATATACAATGATAAATATTTACACATTTGAAGACATAACTAATAATATTTACAAGTCAAATTCATCTAAGTTCAGAAAATACTTTCAATCACATTTCTTACTATAGAGTAGTATAAATTATAATACATATATGTAGATTCAATAATACTTAATGTAATAGTTAATGTATTTCTAGCTAAACTAAGTTACTTATTTATATTAAAGATATATTACATAGGATTTTCATATAATCTTATTATAAGGCAATATTATCTCAGTCCAGAATATAATCGAGGTATTCTTCCAGCAGGAGCATTTCCATGGCGATAGCCAAGATCATGATATTTATGAGATGGAATGATTGGMYGTACAAATACATCGTCATAACCCTGCTTATCGATATCATGAGGATATCTTCTCTTAATGTATCCTGTGTCATTCTCTTTGTCTGTCAGGTAGTTATAGTTGCCAAAATAATTTCCTCGTTTGAAAGGCATGTTTTCTCTGTAGTTAAGATGTCCTGGTTCAGTTTCCATCCTACAATATAATTATATATCAGTCATATGATGAATTCACAACTTTAATATGTGCTACTACATTCTGTTCCTGTCAAAGTGTTTCCATTTAGTCGTTTCACTGTTCCATTTGACTGTTTCTCTCCAAATTGTATTGTTTAGTGTCTTGTTTGTTAGATTTACCTTGATAATCTATCTTCTCTTTCTTCTAAGATTTTTTCTCTTTGTGAAAGATCTTTTTCTCTTCCTGAAATACCAMAATGATATYAAGTCAACAATTGGATTTGTGTTTTCACTGTGCAACTTTCCATACTTTTGATTAGTTTTTGACACCTTAAGTTGCTGTTTATCATAATATCAAAGAACAACACTGTCACAATGGATAAGATTTGTAGTACTAAACTTGAAAAAACAAATATACATGTTCACGTCAAGGCACATTAACATAAAGTATTTATTAAATATACAATACATGAATTCCCTCATTTCAAGTAAATGAAATGAAAATTTAACAATATTGCTGATGGKTGTTGCTTACTTTCTATATCTTTTTCCTTCTCGCTGAGTGTTTTCTCCCATCTTCTCAGTGATTCTTCCTTGTCATTGCTATTTCTAGTGTCAAAAAAACCTTTAGAATTGAATTGACAAGCAATAAGTTCAATCACCAAAGACACTGATCTCTATTTAAGCATTTAACTTACACATTATTTCTTGTAGTTTCTCTTTGCATTTTAGCCAGCTGCGGATTTCGGAGTAATTCATCAATACTTGGCCTCATGTTTTCCTGGACAGTGTAGTAGAAATTCATAGAATGAAAAAAGTTGATATAAGCAAAATATCTCTGAAGTCGTCTGAGTTCAGAAGTCGACAAAAGTGTGTTGTGTTGTGTTTTTTAAAGCTTGCTTTAGTTTTCTTGCGCTCTTCATATCTTCCACTGTGCTCATATCAGAGGACAAAGCCAGACTCAAACCTGTTTCATATTTTGATTTTTGTGTATATTATTCATAATTTGTGAAGTTGCTGAAAAGYATGAAGGCATTCAAAGGAAAGAAAGACATCTAGTTCAAAATTATGCAAATACTAGTAAAGCCATAAATGCAAAATAATATTTAAATTAAACTAATTTGACTCACGTTAACTTGTAACATTGAACTGATGACTCTGTTAAGACTAGGAGAGAAATGATTGCTTGGAAGAGGATGGAATTTGCCAATTTTGATCTTGGCTTCTAGACTTCTCTGATTCATAGCAGTAAATGGTGGAGAGAGAGCACATAGTTCATACAGAAGACATCCMAGAGACCAAATATCTGACTTTTCATTGTAGCTCATTTTGTTAACTTGTTCCTGTAATTAATCATCAATATAGTAAATTATTATTGCACTAAGCCTAACAGACAGTACTAACTACAGGTAACTTACAGGAGACATATAGTATGGAGTTCCAACAAACGTCTGAGCAAAGCTTGTGTCATGAACAAGMACTCTTGCCAAACCAAAATCTCCAAGTTTGACATTYTTTTCAACATCTAAGAACACATTGGCAGGTTTCAGGTCCCGATGCAATACATGTCCTCCATTTTTCCTTCTRTGACATTCCTGYACTGCTAGTACCAGTTGATACATGATTTTCCACACGTAGTCTTCTAGAATATATCTCCTGTAAAAGAATTATAACAAATTATACAAGGAAAGAAACAGCCCTGGATGATACTGCATCACATACTTTTCTGCTTTGTGTTTTGATATGAGTGCACTCAGGTCACCACCTTCGCAGTATTCCATAACAATATAGATGGTRGTATTGGTCCTGTCAATAATTCGGTCATAATAACGCACAATATGTGGATGTTTTAACTCTCGTAGCAGGTTGACCTCAGAMACAAGCATCTGTTTTTCCATTTCAGTCATTCTTCCATAATCTAACTCCTTCCATACAAGTATCTGAATATAAAAAGGAGAAATATTAAATACATCAACTTGAGGGCAGTYAGGTACACCAAATCACTGTAAACAGTGTGAGGGAGTCATCTTGAAAGCTATGCTTCATTTATGTCAGCATCCTWAGTTTGAAAACAATAGTTTATAGGGAGTTTATWCTTTGWTTTCTGAACAACATTTTACATTTGCTTGATAGCACACAAAATAACAACACTAATAATTCAATTGGTGCTTGCAATTTAATTATTTTCAAGGACTGATGTCTTTGTTTCTTCTAGATTTTCTAGGTTTGGTCCACATTGTATTTGGGTCTGCAATGCACATTGTATTCCATTGTTCATAATCACGTGTCTTGGTATTAAGATCATCACTAACCTTTCCATCTTTCTTTCTGCGGATTTTTTTACAAGTTCCATACGATCCTGAACCAATCGTACCAAGCACCGTGTAGTCTTGGAGATGTGATGGCATGATAAACTGGAAGCAGGATAGAATAAGCTTTATAAGCTTACCCAGCGTCATTTTTTTGATATTGGGCGAAGAAGACGGGATGATATGAATATTTAAACCCAGTTATACTTTGCCCACAGCATAGCACTAACTACTTGATTCCGACCATCTTGATTTCATGACAGTGGATTGCTGTTCTGTCGCAATTAACGCTTAAATTCAGAGTCTTACAATCCACTGCCGTGAAATCAAGATGGTCGGAATCAAGAAAGTTTTTCGAGCGATCACTGTCAGAATGCGATACTAACTCAACTGMAACAGTTGAAATAGTTAATAATACTAAATAAATTACAGAATGATGAAGAARTCCAGCTTACCTTCGTTAATCAAACTGGTAAACAAATCGTTTTTCCTCTGGCAAACACAGAATGGTTTTTCAAAATGGCGACGAGAAATTGAATTTACCACGYTGTGATGTGATTGGCTAGARATAATGCGCGCCTTTACCATTTTGTTAGTTCRCCGCTGGTCAAGTATACTATCAACACAGGGAGCCCATATAATCATTATTTTGAATTTTGGAGGAGTGCCKAAAATGGGGTGTAATATTKCGTTTTCRAGGTGTTCAGAAAATCAGTCTTCTAAGCTTATAGAATATGAGAGAAAGGGAATAAAAGAAAGGGAAAATTCTGTTTGAGATGATTTATTTAGTAACAAGATAAGGAGTCTTTAAARTTCAGTTTTTTCAATAGTTTTGGCGCAGTTTGCTGGCAGTCTGTAGTAAATATATACATCCATATACTTGTTAGCAGTTCGTCGACTGTACAGTCTCATTTATTGGTATGTTCTGCTGGGTTCAGTATCGAGGTCAGTAACAATGCCACAATACGCAAGGCTATTGGGCTTGCTTCATTTGCGGGACCTTTTTTCTTTAAATACGGTGAAGAAAGAACGCTTGAAATCTTGATTGACTTGGACGACTTGGAGTCTTGAGGAACTAAAAACCTTGACATAGTGAACATAGAYGATGGTCTTGGACCTACTACACAGGGAGGCAGCAGCTGTCTATTATTTCTGACTTTGAAGCCCTAGTGTCATTTTATCAGCAATATACCGAAATAACTTATTCCAGGCTATGGCCGTTTCTTCTGTCCATTCACTTTGAAGTACATCCTTTAGATTTTCCATCAAAGAAGCTTGCATTGCCTATTTTAAAACAAGAACAATACGTGTAATCGCTATTATCCGATCGACCATCACTATCGCTGTCATTTTCGTCATCTTAATCGTCATCAGCGTCATTGACAATAATGATCATTATATCGCCGCTATCATTGACGTTATCGAGCTCGTCAATTTTATCAAGTCAACATACTTACATCTAAAAGGTAAGGCTTTAAAGAGCGCGCTTTATGCCTCCTTCCAAGCTCTTCCAAGTACGCACTAAAACTAACCGAGTCGTCCAACGCTGTGATGGCGTTTTCCAGGGCTTTCATCACTCGTTTAGCATGGCCATGGATTGTATTGGCTTTTTCGAGTTCTTCGTAAGTCAAGTCTTTGAACTCAGGAAATAATCTTTGATATTCTGGGTTTATTTCAAAGAACCTGTGATAGTGGGATGCATGAAACTGCGTGAATGGAATGTGTATCATCAAATCCTTTATTCTGGTGTATTTCAGTTCGGGGCCGGGTTGGCATGATTTCCCCGTCGACGTTGATGTCATTAGTTGTCAAATAAAAGGTTTTGAAAAGGACTTCAAATTTGCTAATATTTGTAAATTATGTTATTCCTGTTCGTTTTCAAACATTGAAAGGTGAAGCATTTATCAAGTGCCGGTAAAAAACAATGAGTTGCTGCACTTGAGGCGCTTATAAACTTACATCAGAAACTCACGTACAGATAAGGGAACATCTTAACCACATTTGAAGTGCTGAATCGTTTAGATAATGAATCTGTCATTTATTTTAATACCCTCATTAGATCTCATCAGTATTTACTTCAATTGCAGCTTCAGTTCTTTGTACCATGTATAAAATGCCACTACTGAAAGCAACTATTGCGTGACCAGTTTTTGAATTGCCAAAATGTRCGGAACATTTCTTCCGACCGGTAAAGATCAGAATGACAATCATTTATCTACTTTATTCAAACATTAGGCCGTATTTGGGAAGAATACTATWGAAACGTAAATATGGATGTATGTTCAAAAAAAAATCTGAATCAAACCGTAAAATTCAACTCGTCTTACCGTAAAAAAGTATTTTTACCAACAATTTTCTTGTGGACCTCGATAGTCTCCCATGTTTCGCGTAGTAAATATTTCTGAGTTTTGGAAAGAGGCATTTCGTCTTGTTTGGACTTGAAAGCCGTCATTGGTTTGGATAWAGATGATGAACATCCCATTCTGCAGCTTGGGCAATGATTTCTTATAAGTTCTCTAATGAATGAAAATATAYAGAATATCGAACGGAGATATAATGTGACAAGCTATTGTTCAGAGTAGTGCGCGCGCATCACTGATCATTCTTGCCATTCAGGCCTCGATTCTCCACACTAAACTTAACCTTTTTTTAAAAATGTACGTGTGATAAATCCTCCCGGACTTAAAAACATAAAGATTTATACAGCCTTGGGTCATAACCATATTGTCTATTGAACGACAGTAATTTGTACATAGCTTACATATATCAAACTTGCTTGCGTACGTACATTAGCTTGCTCTTCCCCCCGAGGCTCTTTCACAACTYCAAGGCAGTCACTTCACTGTCAATATTTATGGAGTAAAAYTAACCGGTTATTCAAGATGAAAGTAATCTTGATAAAATCAACAAGCTGCTTACAGTTTTAAGTGGGCAGTAAAATCTGAACAGAATTCAAATGTAGTTTTTTCGGCAAAATGTACGCTTTGTACTGTATCCGTAAAGTTATAGTTTGCGCTTTGAAAGACCGACGTTCTTGTCATGTCTAATTTGTATGCTTACTGTACTCTAATATTAAACGAGTTGTATTACTGATTGGCTTTATTTATAGTCCTTAAACTACTCTTGACAAACGCACAGGTGAAACGCATGCAATAAATCATCTAGAGTATCTAGTAAGTGACAAAATGCAGGAGAAAACCACACTGGTCCACGTACCAAGGCAGGTCCATAACAGCTCTTGTACAACTTCAGTCGAACAGGCAATAATTTTGTAATACGTATTCTATTTACTTTTTTTAATTTCCTTTCTGAGGATAATAAGTAGGTGATGAGATTTCGAGCGTTTTCCAGTAGCCTCCATTCGGTGAAATTCAGACTTTTTCTTTTCGGAATTTCGGTTCCGTTTTYATTCTCATTTCCAGTCATAGCGACTATCTCCCCTACTTGGCCATTATGATTGRTACGGATTAGACAGGTCCATTAGGGTAAGGTACTACATAGATTGCTTTCCTTAAATTTAGAATTGTGMAATCCCTGGTTAAATYATAAGCCAGTTCATGATAGCAGGAYGATCTGATTTACTGTGACATCTTACACTTTCTCCGGCGGCATGTTTACATTACTCTATGGAAGGGTGGCCGACTAATTTCCTTTCCCTGGCATTTTACGACAATCCCGGYTTTTTTCCCGTCCGTAACGATTCAKTGATTGTACAACAAATCCTTGAAATCGTCTTAGTTCAAAGGACCTTATCAAAAATAAAGTCGCCATCCTGAATACCACTGTTTTTGATTGAATAGCGATAAATACAAATCGATGTTTTGAAGAATTAATCTAAATTTTACAGCATAAAATTATCAGAATGATGATAAATATTTTCGTAAAAATCTTTTTCCCTGTGGACATCCCATAATTTTAACACAATTCAAGATGGCGTCGTTACTGGTAATATACTTTATATTCATATTCATTTAAAGAACAGCGACAACAACTAGGATTGGATCGTGCAAACTCTTCATTTGGCTATGAATTTGATAATTTAATTTTGTTTATTGCACTATAACGTCTTTGTCTTCGCTACATACAAGCGGGCATGCCAACTACAGAACCACTGGATACTATGATTGTAAAAGAGAACTAAAGAGAAAACAAAGGCACATATAAATCTATTCAACTACAGAATGTTACCGGGTTTCTTCACTCTCTAACATCCTAACAGTTAAAGCGAGCTTTCCAAGGTTATCTACGATCCAAAGTCTTGGTCTCGTAACTGAATTTATCGTATCTCCATTTGTCCATGTGAGATCATGATTTTAGTACTAAAGCAAGACCCTATTGCTACAATCCTTGATGGCGGTTATATGGTGKGCCCTTGTGAATTTTATATAACTAATGGTTCATTTACAGCAGCTAGTGTTATGTCCTCAGTGAATATGACGAAGGATTCAGAACGTTTTATGCATTCACTACGATATTAGGAATGGTTAAGTTACTTTTTCTTTGAGATAAGTGTTGTCCTAAAAACAAAAAAKAAATGACAGTGTAAAACAACATAACTAGTCAAGAACCTTGTATTGTAAAATAGGATAGATTTTATGGTAGATGTAGAGTGCACGTCACATAAGCATGAAACAATTCTTAACTAATTAGCGCCTAATAAGATTTAGTTATCAACTAACTAAGAATTCACTGGGGCATGAACACAATGCCAGAAAGGAAACTTGTCTTTGTTTATGCCTCACTAAACTCTTAGTTAGTTGATAACTAAATCTTATTAGGCGCTAATTAGTTAAGAATTGTTTCATGCTTATGTGACGTGCACTCTATAGGTAGTATATATATAAGAATTAACTTAAATACAAAGAGTTTACTAAGTTACAATTTGAGATTAGTTACAATCAAAGGATAGTTTTTSCAATTAAACTATGTGTAATACTAACCCTGATGAGAAAGTATTTCCACCACCACTAAGAATCAAGTACGGTGATTGTGATTCTTTCTGTTTGTCTTTGAGTAAGGCGGCAGTATTTAGTGGTGTGTCGACTGAACTCATCTTCTGCATGGCCTGGTTGATATTAATAAAACAGCGTTACGCAAAATCATTCAATGGTCGGCAAAAAATGACCATATCCAACATCAACAAACGCAATGGAATAGTCGGCAAAAAATGACCATATCGAACATCAACAAACGCAATACTAGTACTGAATGTATGAATGAACTACAAGAAGAATGAAAGAAAAAACAGTGGATTCTTGTCTTACTCCATCCATAGTTAGTAAGTACTAACTATGCTCCATCTTACTCCAATATGACACTATATAATACCATTTCACTATTACTTTTATACTTTCTACTTACGATATCTTCGTGAACTTTCTTGGCTCTTTTCTCTGTTTTCATTTTTGCTGGCATTTTACCATGGAAACGATGAGATAAGTATCGGAATGCCTGGTAAATACAAAACTAGCGATCAACACAAGATTACTGCATCCACAGTCAGAAATTAGAGAATACAGTCCAGCACAATAAAGCAATAAAMTATAACTATGAATAAAACTACAAAAATAAAAAAATAAATAAAAAAACAAACGATAAAAACAGTAAATGTATAAAGGCAAGTCACATTTCTTCAACTTTATCATAGTCCTCTCTATAAACTATGACTATTTATACAACTTTTCAGTAAAATCAGACGTTTTGATTGGTTGGCTTTCGTGTGTTATCAAAGTATAGATACACGGATTACGTCAAAACTAATTGTTTGTTGTATAAAACAGATAGATCTCAGTTTTCCGTGCGTGTGTACTCTAATAGATACACAGATGACGTCAAAATGTAGTGAGAACAACAGTCACGCACTCGACTGCGCCTCGTGCGTACTTTTTTGTTCTCACTACATTTTGACGTCATCTGTGTATCTATTAGAGTACACACGCACGGAAAAATGAGATCTATTTGTTAAATCATAGACATTCTTGATGACTGAGGAACGTAGATTTGGCAAGACTTTAACCAATACCTCTTTGGGAGTCATTTGCCGGCCATGTTCGTCTACGTAATCCAGTTTAACTTTGGGGATGTAACCTTCTTTTTCAACTCCATATCTGTCTTTGTTTCGTTCATAATCACGATCCCTGCGAAGTGGCATAAAAACAATCATAAACTGAGGAAATACATGTAGATTAGAAAACGTCATTTGCGCATCYTTTCTAAAACCTACTTACCTTCCTGACCGACTTCTATCTTTACCTTCACCACTGAAATTTAAACAATTCATAATAAGTTCCAAGCAAAAACTACAAGCAGCACAAGTACAATGTACCTCATCTTTTCTTCATCGATAACACCCACTGATGGTAGTTCTGCTACAAACTTCTCTTCTCGTTTCTGCTTTCCAGGTGCATTTAAAAGACCTACAAGTGACAAACAACTTGATTGTTATCATGGACTTAGTAAGATAAACGGTGTTTAGCTCCTAAACCTATCCTCGTGTTTAACCATAGTTAATAGACTATGGTTTAACAATAGAAAAATGCTGTTTTACAAAACTGTAGATTTTATCAACCTTTCTTAGAAGCCAGTAATAACGCCGCAGCCATKCCTGATCCAACGATGGGTTCTTCATCAAGAACACGGCTTTCTTCCTCCTATAATTCCAGCAATAATAAATGTTTAGTTATAGGTTGACAGACTGAAGCATCAAAATATCTTACCAGTTTATCGGCATCCACTTTTTTCTTTTCTTCTTGTGTTTGAACCAGCTCCCAGCCACCTTGAGCATCTTTCTGGGGTTGGTCTAAATCCATTCGCCACTAATGAAGGGAAAAATAGAATAAAAACTTTGATTTTTAAATCMMAGAATAAAATCCTCATTTTCTTTTTCAGGCTACTATCCCTTTTTTCCACTATCCGTCTTTTCTTCCCTTCTCTCCATTCATTTATTTTTTCCCTTTTTTCATTTGCTGGTTTCCTTTTTCTTTTATTCTCTCCATTCCTTTGTTCTCTCTTGTTTGTCTTCACAAATATATTTACATACATCTGCATCGTCTTCTTCCTCTTCTTCTTCTCGATTTCCAGCTGCTCCTATTGGATAGAGAGAATGAAATGTTGTATATATCATGTATTGTTTACGTTGAGATATGAAATATCTTACCATATGTAGGGATGTCACCAAGAGCTCGACAAAACTCAGATGTGGAGTCGATAACAATTGAAGCTTCTGATATAAATGCAAAGATTTATCATTTAATGAATTAGCTGGGGAGAATTCATAAGTTAAAAGGTTAGTAATGCCAGCAATAAAGAATATCAAMTGAATCATAATACCATCTTTATTTGTAGACTGTTCTTGCTTTGTTGCAGCAGCGAGATCTTGGACCATCTATTCACAACAATTTGATATTCAATTATTGTTAATTATTGGATGGAGCGGGTAATTAATAATACGATGAACAATAATAATGATGGAATTGATGATGAGGTGTCATAATATTATGTACTCACTTTCTCTACACCAACTTTTTCTTTTTTCTTTTTTGCCAGTCTTGACCTAAAAATGAATATCTATTAAGATAAACCAAAATAAACCACTAAACCCTCTTTAAACTACAAACCTTTGAAGTGCAACCTCAAGTTCAAGTTGAGCTTCATCATCCTCTAAAATGAGGTTGTTGTCTTGTGTGTCCTGATTGTAATAATATTCTAAAACAAAACCACATAATGTTCTTAACATAATCTTAATTTTATARGTAAACAATAATAACTTTATTTCAATAACAATAAATCAAACTACCTTCATCATCTTGTTCTAGAGGAGCAATGTCCATGGCCTCTTCACCAAAATTGGTTTGTTGTTGTTCAGCCTTTGGCTTTGATTTTGTATTCCTATAGTATCACCACAAACATGTTATAACATTCTTATTCCCTGAAGGTTGTAGTCAGCTTAAACTGTTCTCTCCCTTGCCACAAGGATTTTGCTTTAGGTACCCTCATTCTCCTTCCTCACAAGAAAATCCACAGACAGGAAAGACAACTCATAACAGACCCTTATCATGTACACTCTCTGCCATATGCAAAATGCTTAGATTTTTTGATTTTTTAGATGAATCAGAGTTGTAATCCTTAGTACAAAACATACCTTGATCCATGATCACCGCTTGCCAAGTATGACCCAGAAATGGACTCCAAAGCATCTGCCTGAAGTATTAACAATGATTATAGTTACTATGGTAACACTTAACCAGAATTACTAATACAGTGATTATAGTTACTATGGTAACACTTAACCAAAATTACTAATACAGTCCAAGCCTGTATGTCCCTTGTGGAGATATAGACCAACTGCAATAGACCAGTTGTCCTCAGACATCAAGCTAATATTACAAATGCAAACACAACAAGATATTTTCTTACCTTGAGGACTTCTCTTTTTCTAATTTTTCTTTTCTTTTTAGGTTTTTTGAATTTAAGCTGAAACAGATGTATGTGMCRTTATTTTGTAGCTACAAGTTCCATAAAGCAGTTAACAATGTGATCAAACTAAAACCTAATAGCAATTTGTATTGATATCTAAAGTGCTAACCATTTCTTCTTCTGTATAGTACTCTGAGGCTAGTCTTGGTTGGGCCATCTCTAAAGAAACCTGCAAGATGAATTAATTGATTAAGAAATGAAATAAAGTATCATGATCATAAATGATATGAATGGATATGAATGAAAAAATGAAGTGAAGACATGAAAAGATGAGTGAAATAAAGATTATTAATAAACACGAAGAAAAGATCACAGTACCATTTCATTTCTTAGTCTTGCTTTTATCTGTATATGAAAACACAACATGATAAATACAGGATACATGTATAGTGCATTGACTAGCATAGGGTAAGTGACTATGGGTGCCAATCAAGGGAAGCATAAAACATTTGAAAGGTATTTCACCTTTTCTAAGTCATCTTCTCTACTAGTGTCAAACTGTCCACCAGAACCTGCAATTAAACAAGTGAATTGTATGATAAACTTCTGAGATACTGCAGTGGCACCAAATGATATTTTCATTGATAAAGAATATTTAAAAGTATGCTTCATATTACCAAGAGCAAATACTTTTTTCTTCTCTCCTTCAATCTCTTCATCGTATTTATCAAGGACTCCTTTAACTTTAAACTAAAATAAAATGACCTGCGTTTAGCATAAAATTATTGKTCCAGGCATATATACACAAATAGGTGTTTTCATACCATGTCATTTTCATCAACTTCATCATAAGGTTGGTAAGATGACTTCTTTTTTCTTAGGTCTTGATTCTTTTTAGCCTGAAACAAGTCATACAATCATGTGATATACATAATTATATTGGTTCTATCCTCTGTTAGCATTGGCCTGCCTGACTTGCATATGTTACATAATACACCAATCATTACAAATAGGTCTATCATGTGACTGCAAATGGGTAACCCTGATTTGACTAATAATATCATGAAGTT